TTCTGTACCACTCCAGTGGCGCGTCCACCAACCCATAGCACGCCTTGCGTAGGCGCACCACGCTGCCTGCGGGCAGGTTCATGGCTGCACAGATCTCGTCGCAGGGGACGCAAAGTAGACGATCAGGATAATTTCGGCCTTGCAAGAAAGCTCCAGACACATCTCCATTATACACAGACCATTTCCGGATGGCGGCTGTTTGCAGGAGCATCTGTCGCGTCTGCCGGGTCATCACGGGAGATGTCGTAGATCTGTGGGTGTATGACGGGTTTTGATATCCCAACAGTACCGCCCTCGCTTTCGCCTTCTGCGACCCGTCGTCGCGGACCTTCCACGTCGATCCATCTCATCCCCATCGCAGTACCCTTGTCTGGCCTTGTCCCCTCCGGAAGGGCTTCAAAGGCCTGCGAGGCAACAAAGTTGCGCACCTCAGCAGCTTTTGCCTCTCGAAAGGCCTCCTTTTCGCCTTCAGCGAGACGTTTCTCGCTGACCTCGACGCCGCGCGCCGTTTCAGCGCGCTCACGAAGTAGCCTGTCAAGTTCCGCATAGCTGTTTGCAGTCCTTTCGGATTCTCTGGCATGTCGATGGCCACTTCCACCGCGGCCTTGTCGTCTGCCCAGAAACTTGACGCTGTAGCGAAGTGCTCCTCGGGAACGGTGGCCCGCCGTGTTTCCTGAGCCTCATCTCTTACCCCGCTTTGTCCCGCGAGGCGGGGCCTGGAAGTGTAGGACGCGGTCTCGGTCTCCATGAGGACTGCTGACCAATGGCCCCCATGGTCTCCGTCTCTGGCTCCTCCAGGTGCTCCGAGAAGCAGATGAAGGAGGCGGTCTCATTCTCCGCGAGGTTCGCCGCCTGGGGATTGGGGCAATTGGCCACCCGGTGCCCCTTTTTCCCACATCCCAGGCAGATGAGCTGAGGATCGTCTGTGTGGCGGTGCGGGGCCGCCCCTTTCCCTGTGCCCTTGCCTCCGACGCGGAAGTACTGCCGCGACATCTTCACCGCATGTTGCTTGGCCCTGGCCTCCTTCAGGGTCTTCTTAGCTCCGCAGATAGCGGCGAGGGCCTCGGCGATCTCGTTCTGGGCCTCGCTCCACATCGCGAAGCCCTCATCGTTGAGGTTCTCCGCGACCTCAGCTTCCTCCTGGGGCTCTGGATCCCAGTCCTCCGCTTCGTCATCCTCAGTGGTGCCCCAGTAGCCATGTTGCTTCCGACCACTGTCACGTCGTTTCAGATCACCATCCGGAAAATGAGCTCGTAGAGCATTCGAGATCGTCGCCACTCGGAAGTCCTCTCCTGCCGTGGTGAGGACCAGCCCCCATTCGTTGGCATCCAACCCAGCATCTTCTAGAAGCAGCCATCCCTGGACAAAGTTCGGAAGGATCTCCGGCAGCACGGCGGCGGCTGCTACAGTTATGAGATTCTTTGATGGACAGACTGTGACGATTTCAAATGATTATTTCTTCATTTTATCATCATTTTGATCTTCGTTTTGATCTTCGTTCCGTTTCAAATCTTCATTTCCATCTTCGTTTTGATCACCATTTTTTCTTCGTTTTCATCTTCGTTCCATTTCAAATCTTCATTTCCTTCTTCATTTGAAT